CACAAGACTTCCATCAAGCGTATAGTCATGCAATCTAATAGCTAGCTTCTTGTAAAGTGTCCAGCAGCACGTAGGAGTTATAAATTAACGCTGATAAATACATGCCCATTCATGTTTAAAGCTAAAGGTATGGCATTTGGTGCCTTGTCTAGCTAATTCTCTCGCCTTTGGAGTTTCTAATTACTATTTATTACGACCCCACGAGTTGTGATCCCCTTTTGCCAATCATCACACATCCACATTTGGCAAGTGAACTTTTAAAGTAATTACGTGACACCTCCTTCGTAAATTAAAGCTCTCAAATTTTTCTGCCACGGCCTAAAACCCATGACAGACGCATATAACGTCACTGTCCTTTTTACATTTTTTGTTGTTGCGATCCATTGAGACGATGTCCATCAAATTTACCTTTCGTCTACCATCCAGAAGGAGGGCTTGGGGGACAAATAGATAAGCAAACTCTTCTCTATTTGTTCCAGCCCCAAGAGAAAAGTTGAAAGTGGCAATATATATATATATATATATTATAGAATTATCTGTTTAATTATTTCAAAATCCGTTGCAATTATCGGTGCACGCGGACATTTTTATGTACTTGGATGCATCGGTCAAGTGAATCTTCCGTCTCTGGGGAAGACAATGGTAAAATTGTAGCACAAATATAGAGAACCTCTGAAATGTCTGGTAATCTTTCATGTTCTACTAAGTTAAGCCCATTTTCTTCCTGTAGTCTCTTTTAACACTCCTTACAGTTTTTTTTCATATAAAAAAAAGTCCCATGTTTTTATATATATATATATATATATAAAGACATTTTATGAAATACCAATAACTAGTTCTTTATTTGTAACTAGAGCCATGAAATTTTTTTTTTTTGGCCAACACATGCATATTGAAATTCAAAGGCTTCCTCTTATATTATAAAATATCTTAGACTTGAAACAATCACCTAACTGCTGTCTTTCTAGCATATCGGGATTTCCAAAGCACTTGCAATTTTGCAAACATAAATATTATCAGTTGCACCAATATATCATTTTATTGGCTTATTGCACATGGTATATTTTTAGCATTAAACATCGCAGTTGCAAAATCCTGTGGTGCAGAAAAACAAACGATGGAGGCATTTGGGCCACACCTCCAAAGTGATTCCGCGTCCACAACAATCGGTCCAACTTCAATTGGGCCCCACCTTATGAATGTTGTGCCATCTGTAGGGGTCCCATTTTCCTTTTTCAAAGTCTTTACTTAAAGGTAAGGGATATTCTAACTTTTTTTTTTTTAAATTTTAAAAGTCTCCATTCAGAAAATTAATTGAGTAAAAGGACCTCAAATCATTTTAAGGAGCAAGGTCGTTTATAGGTATGAAGTTTCAATGTTAAATGTCCAAATTGCACATGATTACTTAAAATGAAAGTATGTATGTAAGTAGGAGATTTCAAAATATGATCGCAATTTTTCCTCAAAACGTATAACTTTTTTTAGGAAAAAGAAGTAATTTTTCTTGAAAACATTTAAAAATGTGGAACTTTTCGAGAGAGAAAGCACTTTCTGTCCAAAAATGTGGTGATAGAAGAAAAATTTGAAAGCATGGATGAAGCATATATACACTTTTTCTCGAAGAAAGCTTGAGTAGATGAAAGGCAACTTATAAACATGATTTCGTCAACATTTTTATGCAAAAATATATATGGTTAAAGAAGCATGTGTATGGTAGAAGAAAAATTGCACATGTAGAAGACAACTAAAAAACTTGCACAGGACATAACATGAAAGAAGGATTGTCTATAAGTTGCCTTTCAGTATACTAGCCTTCTTGAACAAAATGCATGCTTGTTCCATGTTTTTTAACATTTTCATCTATCAACATGTTTCCATGAAAAATTCTTTCCTAAAAGTTCCACGTTTTCAAGAAAAATTGTTTATTTTTCTTGAAAAATTTCATGTTTTAGGAAAAAGTTCTAGTCATATTATAAAATCTCCTGCATGTTTTCATTTTAAGTAACCATGTGCAATTTGGACACTTGACACTGAAACTTTATACCTATAAAGGACACTAGTCCTTACAATGATTTGAGATCGATCATTTTTACAATTAATTTACTGAATGGGGACTTTCAATCAAATTTTTCAAAAAAAAAAAATACATTTAGAAATTATAATTGCTGAACGATACATTACTGTGTATGGATTACGATGCCCAGATTAATGGATTATCAAGTCCTGATCTTGTGGAAAACGTCCAAGGACTGTGACCGGAGGCAGTTTCAACCGCACCCCCTCCGGGAAGGGTGGGGGGGAAAGAGCCCATTGTTCTACATACATTATCAAGCTGTAAGTATGTGGTCATAAGCTTGAATATATGTAAATATGAAAAATATTTTTGAGAAAACTATCTTCAATTGTACCCGATACTAAAATCATTTAAAAAAGAGAAAGATATTTATTATTACCTCTAGTTTCTAAATACATTTTGCATGTTATAATAAATTTGATATAGGAGCATATACCCAATATATTTTTATTTATTATTAAATTATAATAAATTACATAATTTATGAAAACAGAAGAGCACAGCTCTATTCTTTAGCTTTATGTATGTCTATGGAGTACTTACCCAAATTTAAATCTTATCTTGAGTTTAATTGTATCCATATATAGTATAAAATTACCTAATAATGGATATTGTAAAAAGATTTAAAAAAATATTTATTATCCTTCTTCTTTACAATTAAACAAGGCTATGAATAAGTTACCCAGAAGACTTTCTTGCTCCGGCTGCTTCTCGGAGATTTTCATCTCAGGACAATAGTTACAGACAAAAATCAGTTTTTTGAAGCATAATTGGATGGGTCTCTCATGTTTTTGCCTATATATCTGATTAAACCTAAGAATTGATTTGGATTTTCCCTTGAACAACAACAAAAACAGATATCGTTGGTGTCTCGAGGAAACTTGGCACATAAATGTTGACGTGACTTCTTATGAACTCTACATTTAATCGTTTCTCCATCTGTTCAATATTGCCTATGACATTATATGAATATATTTGAATATTTGATTCCGCCCTCAAGTTCTATATCCTTGAAAATAGCTAGGCCTGCCGTCAATAGTTTTTATTTCTTAACAAATCAATACAGGATCATCTCGTGTGCGAGACATTAGATTGATTTAATTAATAGGGGATTGGACTTTTAAATTTTTGTTATATTAAAATTTGTGGAATTTAAATTAAAATCAAGCCTTAGATTTATTAATTTTGAAGTCAACTTCCACTCAATTTACACATTGATATGTGATAGAGATGGTCTGTTTTTTTTTTTTTTTGTGAGACACTGGTAATAGATATTGAAAAGGTGTTCAATTTTCTTACGTTATTGAAGCTTCCGGCCAAAAAAAAGGAAAGAAGAAAAGAAATTCTTTACTGTCTTCCATGACTTAGCCGTCCACCATCTCAAATCTCAACCGTTGACTCATCCTTGATTTTCAATGACTGTCATGCATGGTCCAGATCATCGTGTCGATCTAGACTATAGAGCACAAAAAGAAATTCCCAATTCCTAGTGGACACCAATCCATAGAAAGTAACTTGGGACCTTTGACGTTCACAAAAATAACAATAAATATATATAGCATATTTAGAAGGATAGAAAATACTCCTCACCGTCCTATCAAGGAGGAGGAAACCTGACATATATAATACAATATTAACTTAACGTACAATTATTATCTGATTATTGTTGTGACATTTCACGTTTGAGTGTACGAGATAAATTGACGTCAATCGATATAAACGAGGAGGTAGTAAACGCAAATTGGTTGGCCCAAAAAAAAAAAAAAACGCAAATTGAGTATAGATGACAGAAAAAAGGTACAGGGAGAATGACGAAAAAATTTCTATATATACAAATAGCAATTGACTACTGCAAAATGTGATAATGGCTTTTTTTTTTGAAAAGAATTATAATTAGATAACATATGAAAAAAATTAATTATTATAAAATTAATTGACAATTGAATTGTCAATGTAATTTAATTTTAATTTAATTATTAATAAACTTTGTAATAATTAATTTTTTATGTGAAATTTTAATATAATTCTTCATATTTTTTTATTGATTATTATAAGGATGACTATTTTAGTTGAGCTATTTATTAAAACGAAAGAGAAAATAGCTATTTTCTTTTTGCAAAATTATTTATCAATTAATTACAAGTATTATAGATTAGTAATTATTATACATTGAGAAATAACTATTTTGATTGGACCATTTATTAAAATTGAATAGAAAATAAATACTAAAATATGTGATGTATAAATGGATTAAAATTGACTACTTCCTTTCTAGAAATGACTACTTCAATTGTATTTGATTGTAGGTTAAAAAAAATTAGCATTAAATGGATGATAAACATATTTTTGCTAAAAGGAAGTAGTTATTTTATATTTCATTTTAATCAACAGCCTGATTAAAATAGTCGTTTCTCAACACATGATAACCACTGATACTGATGACAAATATGTTATTTTGTCAAAATATAGAACAAGTTTATAAGGATTAAATAATAATCAATACATTTTGTGATACTTAATTATCATTTGTGTATTTTGAGATTTTTTGTCATTTTTTAAGAGGACATTGATAAAAAAATAAAATAATTAATTAATTATTGCGCCTTCAATCACAACAATATGGTAGAAGAAGATTTATTTAAGAATGACAATTGAAAACACTGTAAAAAAAATTAATGTGAAATAAGGACAGCTATAAATTTCTGAATTTTCAATCATAAATTTTAAAATTTTAATGGTACAATTTTCTTCATATTTTTCAAAAATTTTTATTTGTCATTCTCTCTTTATTTAAGCGAGGCAGTGACCCAAAAATAACAAAAAACAAAGAAAAAGAAAAAGAAGATTATTCCATATGAAGGACTCATACGATTCTGAAACGTGGACGGTAGAGATTGCCCCGATCCATCCTCGTCCACGCTATAAATGGAGTCGTTGAGGCCTCTGAAACCATCTGTGTGTTTAGTTTCTACGCTTGACTAATCGTGTCTGTGATATCTGTGCTTCCGTTTTCCTTCTTCACTCGGGAATATGTCTTGCTCATGTGGCTCTAACTGCGGGTGCGGAAGCAGCTGCAACTGCGGAAGGTAAGATTAAATTCTGATCGATCGCTTTAAATATTTTTGCGGGAAAATTTCTCGGGTTTCTCCTGATTCATATATGAAAGTCACGATTTGCGAAATCAACTGAGCTAGGTTGATTTTGATATCATGTGGTGCAGCAAGATGTACCCAGACCTGAGCTACGCCGAGAAGACAAGCAGGGAGACTCTGGTGCTGGGGGTGGCTCCGATGAAGGCGGAGTTCGAGGGAGCTGAGATGGGCGTCGCCGCCGAGAACGAGGGCTGCAAGTGCGGATCAAACTGCACCTGCGACCCCTGCAACTGCAAGTGATCGAATCGTGGATCAGAAAGAAGCAGAGATGACGACCAACCCTTTAATTACTTCCCGTTGATGATGATGCAGAAATAAAAGAAACCATACACATATATATGTAGGAAGTGTTTGTGTACGCGTGCTTCTTGTGTTCGTGTTGCCGCCTGCGCCTTAGGGTTTAATGGCTGCTCTGTTTTCTGTTTGTTTTGTTTTGCATAAAGTTCAATCTCTGCTTATTGATGTTGACGTTATCTTGTTGGTGTAAAGATCGGTGTTATGGTTGTGTTGTTTACTTGTTTTCTTTTGTACGAGTTTCGTCTTGAGAATTGTGAGATGGGAATGAACCCTAATTGCTGGGAATTAGAGACGAGTACCAGGTTCACACGGCAACGATGCAGATATTTTCTTTTTCCTTTCCGTTGCATTATTGGGAATCATGACGTCGACTTCTTCTTCTTTTTTTTTTTTCAAGCGAGGGTGTAATCAGTATTGGGCGAATATTTCTGCGTTTCCTTGGGTTGGTGGTTGATCACTCGATCCTTTTCTTTTGACAAAGATGGAGTATCTTATCTTCTTTTTACCCTAATTAAGTTTAAAATGTAAATTTATATTATTCGCATCTTATTAAGGATAAAATTTGAAATTCTTATATTATAGTATATTATAATTCTCAGCTAATAAGATGAACTTCATGCAGATCTATAACCGGTCTTTTTCTTATCTTTACGTGAACCCTTTCAACCTAATCAAGGGAGAAAACAAATAGAAAGTGAGAACTGAGAATCACATGTGATTTTTTACTGGCAGTAGATATTATTTTCTTTGAGGTGATGAGGATGAAAGGTAGACTAATAATTTGACTTCTATTTATTCTCTCTATCCGATGAATTCCCTCTATTATCAAAAAAGAAAAAAGAAAGAAAGAGAAAAGATTCCCTCTAACCTTTTCTTATCAAAGTGTTAATTATGTGATTCATCTTTTGACTCCATTTATATTATATATCGAATCTTCACAGGAGAAATCTGTTTCGCCTTTTTCCGTTGATCCCGGGCAGTGAATCTTAACCCGTGCCTTTCTAACTATTTTTCATTTTTTTTTCCCCAAAGAAAGAAACAAAAACAACAGATGGGAACTTAAATATTGTCAAAGAGAATTTTATATTATTTATATCTCTTTGTTTTTAATGTATAGCATCAATTTCAAACGTGAAAATTCAAACGATCCAATTTGATTCGTGGCTCTAAATTGTTTGGGGTCATATTACATCAAAATCAATGATTGTAACACCACGTCTCTTGGGCTTCTAAGAGGCATTGAGAATACTATTTTTTTGAGACTTAGTTCTTCCTATTCAGTTTCTCTTTATTGTACCTCTGTTGTAGCTATAGACCATTTAGATTAAATTTTAACAGTTCATATTAATTCATATTTTTAAAATTACCAAATCCGGGGGATCAAAATGGTAGAGATAATCAAATATGCATGAATCATTAGATAATCTGATGGACCCCTTCCAATCCGATTTTTTTCATACTTCTGGAAATAATCAAATACTCTATGAATCATTAAATTCAATCACATATGGCCGTTGAAGTTACATTTGTAAGGGATTATATTTCTGAGATGATTTAAAATATGAAGCAGCAGCCCGTTGGCATGCAAGAGTGCGTCTTTCATGTTGTGCACGGCATGCAAAGCAACTGGATTTCTGATTAGTTAGTTATCCAATTGACCACCAGATGGGTAATCTAGTTATCTATCTCTCAATTATTAAGACGAATTTTTCCCAAGGCGGTGACATTAATTATTAGTTAATTCATAATATAGTATTTTTCAAGTGCTTGCCTTGGAGCTTGGGTTGGTGCTCATACATCATCTGCATCAATACATATTGTATAAATATAATATTATGAAAACTCAGATCATCTGACTTGGTCATCTTTCCAATCAGTATTTGTTAACATGGCAAATAACATGTTACGTATCAATTAAAAGTTGAATGATTAATTTAACTTAACACGAACAAAGTTAAAAAGAACATATAGGCAGCATATAGGCAAACATGCACATTGTTGTTCTCCACTATGGTACACGCACGAACACAAGGCAACATTGAGGATGTTGCTAGCAGCAGAGGATAATGCAATTTAATAAACAAGAAAAGAATTTGGAGTAGTAATAAATTGCATTTGATCTTGGCTAATAAAACGCAGCCAAGTCAGCAAGTCACTGTTGCACTTGTTTCTTTTGCATTGTCTTCGAATATCGTTCTTGCAGCTTTAGTGAACAAGTTGTAAGCCTGTAAAGAAGAGGTCATATAGTTTCTTTTATATCACAACGATTTATTCTCCAAAAAGAGAGGAGAATGCATTAAATTGAGTTTTATGTCATATTCTGCACTGCAAGAAAAGCAAATGGGACCAGGAGCGCCACCAAAAAAAGAGACGAGACGAACGAGCCAGACCAACAATAATAATTGGATGCATGTAAATGAGTTTTATGTCATATTCTCCATACATATATTTCTTTTTCAACCGGATTCTATTTAATTGTATCATTTTGCTTTATTTTATATTAATTATTAAGTTTAATTTTATTCGATGTGAAACTTTTTACATTAATTTAAGTCCCTAAGACTAAAGTCCTTACTTTTGCAATCAAGGCCAGCTTGATTTTTGGACTTCAAACATCTCACATGAGCTTAAGTCTCCTTAAGTGTGAGTTTACAAGCTCTTTCTATTGAAAAATTGCCACAAACACAACAAAATCCCCTGTTCCCGCAATCAGGATCTAATTTGGACTTTATCCCTCTACAAGTTTCCCATGTTGAAAGACACTACAAACTCCAAAGTCCTAGCTCCCGAAATCAAGGGTTTTGAGCTTTATCCAGGTTAAGGTCCTCAAGTTCTCATATCAACTCAAGTTCCTCAAGTGTGAAAAATCAAAAACAACTAGGTCCCAAGTGAAATTTAGACTTGATACCACTTGTTATAAATGGGGAGTGACCACTTGAAAAAGGAGGGAGAGAGCAAATAACAACAATGGAAGGAAACCATATCCTAGTCATGAGTTATACCTAATTTTATTTTAGTTATTAAACTCAATTTTATTCGATGTGTAACTTTTCATATCAACTCAAGTCCTCCTATAGCTGAATTGTAACTTTTAGTGTGATGGTACCCTAATTAGCATTATGAGGAATTTGAGGTCAAAAGACTTATTCCTTAAAATTTAAAGCTCGAGAGCCTAGTTTTCGATTTGGAAAGTTTAAGAAGAAACAGTTTGCAAGTGACACAAATTTCAAACAGTCCTTTCTATTTTTCATATATCATTTTTTATTATCTATACCTGTTTGGAAGAGAGGCCAATCTTCTCCAAATCATTTAACTGCATAATGCCGAAACAACATCATCAGCAAAAAAGTATAACATTGCCTACTACCTCGCAAATTTTTCTTCACTTACAGATTTTATAGGGCTTTCGGCTCTGAGATCTATTATATATTCTGCCATTTTCTCTCCTATACCCTGAAGAAAGTGAATCGCAAGCATTAGAAAATATAGAAGAAAAAATAATGAATGAATATATAAGAAATGACAAAGACAAACTTGAGAAAAATAAAAATCTCTTTATCTAATGATCTTAATTGATTGGATCAATTACGTCAAGCAGGTAGCCTCTAACCCTGAAAGTCTGAAACTGGGAAAACTTGCTCAACTTCTGAACATTTTAAAATCAAGACGAAAACTTTAGTTAATTTGTGCATCAGTGTAAATTTTCATTTACCTTCAACTCAAGCAGTTCCCTTCTGCAAGTTAAAAAAGAAGAAGAAGAAGAAGATCAAATCCCTTGTTAAGAGCTTCAAAGAATGATTACTAAATTTCTATGAAGAAGCAAGACAGACAGAAGAAGGATTTACTTTACCTGCTCGCATTGTTCAAGAAATAAACATATTCCTGAACTAGACAGTTCTGCATATTATTAAATTGGAGATGAGATGTGAGAATGATAATTCAAGAAGTGTAGAGAACTTATGAGGTTTAAATAGTTGCGTACCTTCAATGTAGAACTCCTTGCACTGAATTTGTCAAGTGGAGTGCTGTTATTTTGGATCTCATTGATATTGATGGGAGAGAGTGCCTTTCTGAGAGGACTTCGTAATGTATTTTCATTGTCAGTGGTGGTTGACCAATAATCTTTCTTCTGTTCATAATTGGTGAGTTCTCCTCCTTGGCCAATGACTCCACTGCATAACACCACATATTGCTTATAGAAGTTTAGAAAGTATAATAGACTATCAATCAACCATGACAAAACAAAATGCATATGCATACCATGAATGTTTCACGACATTGTCAATGTCTGATATGCTTGCGCATATGTAGGTTCATGATTTATAACTAATAAATCATTGCATGAAATTCTACCCAGGTCCAAGCATATATCTGAAACACAAATCAAATTGACTCTCTTGTTATGGTGACATACCTCGTGGATAATTATTGGATTCTGATGCAGCCTCATTGGTAACAGCCTCTTCTCTATTGTCCATATCACCGTGATGTGGGCTCTATAGAACATTTCATATTATTATATACAAGCAAAGATGAATATATTCCGCCTATTTTATGCATAAAATTTGCATAAAAAGTTAATATTTATAAACATCGGGCCAAACGGATCCTTTCTAAATATTGGATGTTATTTATAGAATGTTAGATTTTCAAAGAGATATCTTCTCAAACTACTTCATCAATTTAAGCAAACGAACAGCATAATGATACAACTAGTTAAAAATAAGGCCTTGAAATTCCATTTATGATGATGGACTTTTAGTAAAGATTCTTTAGCATATTTCTTAGGCCAACTAGCTGTGCAAGTAAGATACTAATGAAATAATACAGCATAGTGTTTTGAGAAGTTGATTGTTAGGAGTCAAAGAGTGATTTACTATTGAAAGAATTTTGAAATCAGAGAGTTAGGCTCAAAGTGGATGAGAGAGTTGGACTCAAGATCATGACGCGAACCATTCAAACTTATAATTGATAGGAAGGTCATCCTTATAGAAAAAAAATGAGATTTTACTCATATGAATTTGGGAATTTTTCACATTATTAGTAACACTTAGAAATTGTGCTGGTGAGAGTTTTAGCACATGTAATGCACTAGCAGTATTCACACTAACCTCGAAACAAAAATCAAAGGTGCCTTCACCATCTGGCAGATTCCTAAAAGCCACTGCAAAAGCCCTGTAATAGTAGTAAGTAACAAAAAATGTCAATGACAGAAAT